GAAGAGAAGAGAAGAGAAAGAAAAAAGGAAAGAAAAGAAAAAGAGATAAACGACAGCATAGGATGCAAGGGGGGGTGTCAGGATCAGAAAGGTAGGTTTAAGTCAAAATTTGGTAGTAGTTAAGAAGTTGTGGAGAGAGACAATGAATAAATACTGAGGCTCAGATTGCCTTGCAATGGGCTGACAGAGCAAGCACTCCCCCATGCCGGGGCACCTGAGCTCAGCTTCCCTTGGGCCTGAGTGCACTCCCTTGCCCAAGCAGTTGGCATTTTCATACAACTCTCCGAAGAGCTGGCATAGACACTCATATTGAACTTTGACTTGTATCTACCAAAGGTGTTCTCCCACAAGCACTACCAAGAGGTAGCTCAGCAGATGGACAGTAGCCCACACCTGTAACACAAACCTGCGCTGTACCCGAAGTACCCTGCCCTCAGAGAATCTCTCTGCAGGGTGATGAGACATCAGTGGGCTCTGATCTTCTCTTGCTTAACCTTGATATAGGTTTCCCTATGAAAGCCTCTTCTTTATACTCCTAACCCCCAGAATGTTATGGAATCCTCCCTAACCCACATCTCTATGTATGTTGGATATTTTTAAACACTATAAATCATTGTTCATTTCTGAGCAGTGCAATGTCGTTACAGAAGTACTCACTATCCTGAAAGGAGTGTACATGAGAAAGAAGCAGCTTGAATGAAGGAGATGAGTCAGGAGCTAGGTCAGATCATAAGATCTTAGAAGCCCTAAATTTTGAAAATATTATAGTATTCCTGCCCTTGATTGGGGGTCATAATAAAATCAATGCTTAATTATTAAGAATGAAGCATGTGTAGCAAAAAAACTTTCAGTATGTTTCTAGGTTTTCTGATAGAGAAACCCTGAAAAGTTTCATCAAGACTGAACTATCTTCATTTTTACGACATGCCTGTTTCACAGTGCTCTAAGGATAGGCTTCACTGCCCATGGGCAATCCACTCTTGGTTGGAAGCTGGTGCTTTCTAGATGAAAAGTTATAGGAATATTAAACATGACAGTGGCAAGGAGTATGAGATGGAGGAGAGAGCTAAAGGGTGTGGGAGTAAAATTGATCTTAGAAGGGAATTAATTGGAAAAGCAGATGGGCAAGGAAGAGAATTAACCATGACTCTCTTCTGAAAGTGGGTGACTGGGAATCAGTAACAGTACTATGATGGCATTCCCAGAGAAGCAATGAATATGAGGAGAAAGAAAGGGCAGAGGAGGAGAAAGAGGAGTAGAAACGGAAGGAAAAGAATAACAATAATATTATTATTGCAGTTAACATTTATTGAGCACTTACAAAGTGCCAAGAACACTTCTAAGTAGTTTATTTGCATTTCCTCAAATGTCCCTGTATGTGATTATTCCAGAAGGACGAGACTGCTATACATGAACATATTTATGGCTGAACATATGTTCTTTGCATCTCACTTGTACATATATGCAATTTTCACAGAAACGTGTGGCTATATTTCTCTCCTATACATGGTGACGTTTGAGTTCTTTAGGGGCCTGAGTCAACTGCCGTGGCCACATGAAATATAACTTTTACCCATGAGGACTTTCTATTACATAAGTTGAAATGGAAGATTCTGTAAAGCACAGCAGAATTTCTGCTTCAAAGGGATAAATGTTAGGTAGTATCCGTGTAAAATAATTGGGTTCATCTGTGTTTTTGGAGATGGACCTCCTGGGCCGCTGTAAGTGTATAGTTCCCTCTCATAATTTTATCTGACCCAAATACAACTGAGTCATTAAGGACTTCCAGTGGTTTCTGATTATTTCCTAGTGTTTTGTTTTGTTTGTTTGTTTTTAACTAAGCAATTGCCTTTTTGGCTTCTCTACCTATGTGTGAAAACATCAGACAACTAATATAACCAAAACAAACTCAGTATCTTCCACCCACTTGCAGACACTATTCTGTGGTTACCCAACAGAGAAGCTCCTTCTCTCTCTTGATTCTTCCATACAGAAAGTGGAAAGCCTAAAAATAGGCATCTCTCACTTAATTTCAGCACTTCATTTCTGAAAACTCTGACATTCTGGGCAGGAAATGCCAAACAG